TCGTTGATTCCTGAGGAAACAAGGCCAAGGGCGCTCCAGGACCTACTCAGGGATGCCTGGTTCTCCATGCTCTTTCCATCAAACACAGAGTTTTCTATAAAAGTGCAACTTTTTGTTGGTATAAAAAATAGTTGCCTTAGTTTGGAAATTACCCAAGTTTAGTTTGAAATGTATCTCTGCTGACACAGAAATAGGACAAAATAAATACAGATTTTGTATTTCCTGAGCATCACCAAAACCTTTTTGTTTTCAAAATCACTCTTTCCAAGTCTATTTCAGGTCTTCAAATCTTTAGTATTGGAATCATTTCTTTAACTATGATCTCTGCAGTCCTCTGCTAAGACAAAATACGTTATTAAGAGGAATGGTGAGGCACTGGAATGAATGCAGGCCCTACAATAGTAACACTTGCTGGATTTATGACTTCGAGGAAGATACTAACCCTCTCACCCATAGTCATTCAAACACTTATGCAGAGCCCTGTATGCTCCCATTTTCTCATCTGGAAAATGAACCAACCTAAGAGCTATGAGTATTACATGGAATAAGTTAATCATCCTAATGTCTTCTACATACAAACATTTAAAAATTTGTGGTATCAATGGATGTAAAATTATTGTTATTATATATGTAACTAGAGGCCCAGTGCATGACATTCGTGCACGAGAGGGTGTCTCTCAGTCTGGTCTGTGCCCTCTCCCTCCCTTAAGGTCTGCCCCCCCCCCCCCAAGCCAGCAGGCTGACATCCCTGGAGGGGTCCTTAGTGCTGCCACAGAGGTAGGAGATATTCCCGCCACTGCTGCTGCGCTTGCCAGCTGTGAGCCCAGCTTCTGGCTGAGCAGCACTCGCCCTGTGGGAGCGCACTGACAGTCACCCCACCATTTGGTCTATTTGCATATTAGCCTTTTATTATATAGGACTATCATGTGTATGTTAAATGTATGCTAAAGGGGATAATTGCCCAACTAGTGCACACCAACATGAACACTGAAATCTTTAGCTTCCATCTCCAAATGATTGACAAAGTCAGAACAGTTGATATTGTATATATATATATATATATATATATATATATATATATCCTCACCCAAGTATGTGTTTTTATTGATTTTTAAAGTGGGGGATAAAGGGAGAGAAACATTGATCAGCTGCCTCCCTTATGTGCCCAGACTGGAGATGGAACCCATAGCCTAGATATGTGCACTGACTGGGACTCAAACCCACAGCCTTTTTTGGTGCACAGAACAACGAGTCACCCACCTAGGCTACTAATGCAGATATTTATTTGGGGTAATTAGATTCTGATTTACCAGTGTCTTATAAATGAGAATTGGTAATTAAAAACCTTAAAGTTTTTGTTTTGTTTTGCCTTTTAATCTCGATCCAAGCTTGTGATTAAAAAATTCTTTCAGGATCCTTGCTTTCTAGCCAGCAAACACTTAAGAAAACCATTATTATGTGGGGAACATATAAGAGAAAATGGATGCTTTCTTCAATACCTGTTTTCATTAAGTAAGGAGAAGGAAAACAAAAACAAATCTTTAAATGCTTATCAAAGAAGTGCCAGAAGCATTGTATATGTTATTCCATTTAATCTTTAAACCCAAAGAGGTAGATACTATAGTCCCTGCTTGAGTTGCTGTAAATCTTCTCCAAGATTTTAACTTTAAGGAAAAAAAGGTATTTCTCCCAGAATTAAACTTTGAATGAATAAATACAGGCTTCATGAATATGAGTGATATAAATAATATTGTATAAGAAGTCACAAGAAAGAGATAAAATAGTGTTAAGGCCAGTACAAGACAATATTATTATTAACATTTTCCTAAAGATAGACTCATTCGAGAAAGGTGCAGATCAGCCAAGAAAGTCCAAGAAAAAGAGTGCCACTGAGATAGACAAAGAGCTGTCAGGGGATAAAGGAGAAGCTTGGCCAATGAACTTGGAGGATTCTCGTTCCAGCCCCAGATTTTCCATTTTGTGAACATGTTGACCTAAGGCTCTATTTACCTGATTCCATTAAACATCCAAGAAATTCCTCTTTTTCTGATTTCATGCTCAACAAACAAGACCTGGCTGTAATTTCGCTTCCCATGCAGCTGTGAGGTCTCTGGTCCAAATCTTATTTATCTTGAGAAATTAATAAAGTGGTTTCTGATTTTTATAAGTTAGTCTTGAGATTGGTGAATGTAAGCAGATCTGTCTGACAGAACTGGATTTCTGAATCTATCAAGGCCTAAATCAGGATGGTGGTGGATTTATCTGGTGGCCCATGCCAACCTATGAGGACTCATTAACATTAACTATCCTACTGGCTCCGTATAAGAACCACTTTATGAGGCCACCCTTCTGCCAATAACAATGACACATTTAGGCTAAAAAGAAATGTTAACTATTTGAAAGGGTTGTAGAACAACCCAAAGATGGCAGAAACTGAAATGAAAGAGGGAAAGAAAACTAGGTGAGCTCTAGGTCTACAACATGCTTCTCCCTCTGAGGACATTTCCCACTTCCCATCTGCACACAGAGAAAAAGAATAAAATGAGAAAGTGATAGTTTTATTTATCTGGAAACAAAACAAAACAAAACAAAACAAAACAGAATCCAGAGTTCAGGGTTGCCATAGCTCTTAGAAATGGGAGGTGGAATCACAAAATGGGGGAAGTATCCAACAGGGAGCCCTAAAATTTGGGTAAATTTTTTCCTCATTGATTCCTAAACTGTTCAGTCCAGGACAATAACCATCAGAGAGCAGCAATTGGAAAACTAAATAAATGACTCCATAAATAATTTCTTGGTCCTAGAGACAGTTCAGTTGAAGTCCTGCCAAATAAAGACAACTGGTAAATAAGTGGGGTTCTTAATGAAACCCAAAAAAGACTGCACATTAGGAATAGGGGCCATATCCCTAGACTAATGACTATGCTGTAAAGAGCAGTGAGCAAACTATGGCCTATGGCCCCAATCTTGCTCTGCTAGATTTGAGATAGGCAAGACTCAAAACTTGCTATGCTCAGTCATATATGCACTATGGATGGCATCTTTCACACTATAATTGCAGAGCTGAATAGCAGCAAAAGAGACCTATTTGGTCCATGAAGCATAAAATATTTATTATACTCTTTGTATAGAAAAAGTTTGCTGACCCCTTCTTCAAGAATAAGACTAAAGTAGACCTGACTTAATAAAGTTTTAAAAATAACTCTCAAATTAAGTTGACCTGCTGTTTTCTTTTTTACCCTCCTGTCAAAAAAACAACAACAAAACACTAAGTAGTATTTAGAGGAAATTAATACAATCCAGAGTCTTTACAACGTATTATAATCAATATATAGTAAGAAAAAGAAATTGCTAGATATGTATTGGGGAAAAGAGACCCATAATTTAAGTAAGTGATCAATAGAAAACTTCATAGGTTGTTGAGATTTTAGAAAAAGCAGATAAGAACTTAGAGTAGCTATTATGAATATATAGATGAATAACACAAAATTGACAGAATAGATAAACAAATGTGGCATTTCAAAGGAAAAAAAAAATCTAACAAGAGTCAAGCTGGAATTCTAGAATTGGAAACACATACAGTAGGACTTCTGATTTTAGCTCTAACCTATAAAGAGCTAGACACTGACCACTTCTATCCTTCCAACAAGAGAAAGCTTGACCAACTAAAACTCAGTGATGCTTGTTGGACCCAGCAGAGAACAAGCTGCATGGTGCACCACCACCCAGAAATCTAGAGCAAGAGGCTGATCCAGACAGAGATGAAGCTGAGATCTGCTTGCTTGGCCTAGAAGTTAATGGAGCCATAAACTTCTCAGCTTCAGACTAAATATAGAGTAGTCACACAAGGAGAAATGCCTGGGGACCATATTCTTAGAGTTGGCCCATTAATTCACGGCTTTCACTCAAGGAGTCCCAACAGCTTCTCACAGCGAAGATCTAAGAAAGAGTCCCTTCATGGTTTTGGCAGGGAAAGAGAATGAGTAATCATATGAAGCACACTGTGAGCCTCTCTATAAAAGATGCCTTTTCCAGGGGAAGGGATGTTTTTAGACCCATTGCCCAGCGGGGGAAGGGCGTTCTTCCTTATATCACCTAAGGAAAACAAAAAATAGAAAATATGAGAAAACAAGACTCAGTGCTTCAAGTTTATAGAATGGGAATACTGTAGCCAGGAAAGAAAGAAGGACACAAAATGGGTAAGGAAACTAAGATATACAACTGGAGAAGACATGGACTTTAAGACCCAGTGCCCCTACATATAGGTAGATGCACTAAAACACTGAGATTTAATCAAATTTACAATACCCTATCTCCTCCACTCATTATTAGCATTGACAGAGCTTCAGTATAATAACTAGATTACAGCTGAAAGGGTACTCTCTAAGGAGGAGTACTAGGAAGGCCCAAAGTCAAGAGGAAAGACAAAATGACACCAGAGGAATGTAAAACCTCTTGTACTTATGACTACAGCAAATATTCAATATAACCTGGCCAAGTTACCAAAAATCCATACAATTAATTCCTAATTACCTCAATTCCTATTACCAAATGCAACATGTATGGCTAGCAATGACAAATTAAAAGATGTACCAAAAGGCAAGAAAAAAACAACAACCCAGTTTAAAGAGACAATGTGATCATTAAACTCCAAAATGACATAGATGTTGAAATTATCAAATGGGCAATTAATAATTCATCATTAATAATAAATTAGAGAGCTAATAGAAAAAGTAGATGACATGAAAGAAAAGATGAGTAATGTAAACAGAGAGATTAAAACTCTGGGAAAGAACCAAAAAGAAATGCTGGGAAATCAATACAACTGAAGCAGGAATGAAAAATGTCTTTGATACTCTCATTTGAGTCTTAACATGGCCAAGGAAAAAATATATGAGATTGGAGCTTGGTCAATATAAACTTCAAAAACTAAAATGCATAGAACATTCAAGAATTGTGAAATAATTTCTAACATCTTTATTTTTTGTTTATTTATTTTTTAAAATATAGAACACTTCATGAATTTGCATGTCATCCTTGAGCAGGGGCCATGCTAATCTTTTCCATATCACTTCAATTTTAGTATATGTGCTGCCAAAATGAGCACCCAATGTCTTTAGATATGTGTAATCTATGTATATATAAAAGCCTAAGCAAACCAATGACTGCAATGACCAGTTAAGCCTAAGTGACTATTATGACTGGAATCACCAGAACAACCAGTCCACCATATGCTATGATGTGCACTGACCACCACTGAGGCATATGCTCAATGCAGGAGCTGCCCCTTGGTGGTCAGAGCACTCTCACACTCAACTTCCCAGTCTATCAGTACTTCCAGATGGCTGGCCAATCTTCTGTGGCCCCAATTGGGACTGGGAAAGACAGCCTCAATCAGCACTAGAAATTCTCATTTACTTACGGGATTTCAAAATAGTACAGACACTCTAGTTTCTAGAGTTTAGAAGATTGTTTGGTAGCTTCTTAAAAAGCTAAACAGATTTACCATATGAATCAGGGCTTCTAGATATTTTTCCAACCTTTTTGTAAAGTTATGTCCACCTCAAACAACACCAGAATGTTTATAACGGCTTTATTACAATCACACAGACTTGTAACAATCAAGATGTCCTTCAAGGCCATCAAGATGTCTTGGTGACACCTGCAATAGGGGCTCTTCAATAGATATGTGATCTATGGCATATCCAGACACTAAGATTCTATTTAGAAATAAAATTGAAGAGATATCAAGCTATGCAAAGACCTGGGTGAATCATAAATACATGTTTCCAAATTAAAGAATCCAGTCGGAAGAGTCTACATACTGCATATCTACACATATATGCATTCTGGAACAGCCAGAACTATAGAAGTAGTAAACATATCAGTAGTTCCCAGGGATATTGGGCAGGGGGGTGAAAGAATTTAATAAGTTTAGCACATGTATTTTTAAAATATATAAGAAAGAGGGATAGAAAGTTAGAAACATCGATCAGCTGCCTCCTGCACACCCTCACTGGGGATGTGCCCGCAACCAAGTACATGCCCTTGACTGGAATCGAACCTGAGACCCATCAGTCCACAAGCTGATGCTCTATCCACTGAGACAAACCGGTTTCAGCTAGCACATGTATATTTTAAGGTGCTGAAAATATTTTATATGTCATCATAATGGTGGGTACAAAAACCCATGTGATTTTCAAATTTCATAGACCTTATAAAATAAAGCATTAATCTTAAAGTATGTAAATTTAAAAAATATTTAGAAGGTTAAGAAATACCACAATGAATGCAAAATGTGACACAATTACAAATGTTTGGAACAACCTTCCTGAATAGAGTGGGAAAAGAGGATGCTGAACTGCTTTTAGACATGAGTGTAATTAAAGGCAAAGTGAATCATATATAAGCACTATACTCTGATTGACAAAGTTATTTACACAGCAGTAAGGGTTGACAATTTTGAAAAACTATACAACTACACTGGAATTGAACAACTAAATAAATCAATTATGGATGGTGGGAGTTAAGTTTCTTAATCTTGGAGTGGGAGATTGCATATTATAATAATAATAAGAGATAAGAATAATCAATGTAGTTATAGAGTTGGAAACATTAGAAATGTATGAACTTAAGCTTAGCTTGAATAAATAAAGATGATTGTATGCAAAATATTTATAGATCTATCTTATGTGATGTCTTAGTATATTCTAATATATCTTCTTGGCCTGTCTTCTGAGCCCAGTAACAACACCACCTCAATAGCAATGAGCACACCTGGTACCCACTGTGGTTTCTAATGCTGCTCTCTAATAAAAGGAACCAGAGCTTCTTAAAGAAGCTGGTGACTCTACAGGAGTAGGAAGGCAATATACCAGATGAGCATGGAGCACCTTGTAATAAAGGAAAGTGCTTAAAAGAGAGGTAAGTACTTAAACACACACACAAATTACATGTAAAATGGGTACAGAAGCAGATGAAAAAGCTCTCAATGGCCAACACTTAAACATGTGAGCAATAAAATGAATAAATAAGTTAGAATTATAAAAAGTATAAAATAAATATCCACGACTAAATTATTGAATAGACAAATCTCCAAAACAAAAGAATTTCAAATATTCTTCAAGAACATGAACTATATAATTTTTTACTACGGTACACATAATGATATCCTTTCAGAGCACAGTATAGAAGAGAGGAGGATAATTTCACATGAAAACATCTGACAAACATTTCTTCAGCCGGGTGATCAGGGTTGACATCAATATTGATGCCATGTTGATAGTGTGCAACTTTTTTACAGTTCAATGAAATGGCACTTTATCTCTATGTCTTCCTCCCAAGTAGCCATAACCCCTGCCTGAGCAGAGGGAAACCTCAGAAGTTTTATAAAATACCTCACCTGAACTCCTCAAAGCTATAAAAGCCATTAGAAACAATGAAAATCTTGAGAAGTTGTCATAACCCAGAGAACAATAAGGCAACCCAGCGTATGCAATGTGGTAATCGGATGTCTGAAGGGAATCTTGGAAAAGAAAAAGAGCATTAAGTACAAGATAAGGAAATAGGAATAAAGTATGGAATTCAGTTAATATCCGTGTATCAATATTGGTCCACTAATTTTGACAAATGTACTGTGCTGAGGTAAGATGTAAATAGAAAAAAAAACTAGGTGTGGGATATATGGGAACTCCACTGCTTTCATAACTTCTCTGTAAAGGTAAACTTACCCTAAAATCAAAATTTTATTAAAATATATGTTAAATAAAACATTTGTAAGATTGGCTTATTGTCATATTAAACATAGAAAAAAAACCAATGAATTATCCAAAGGCTTGTCAATAGAAACTATTTAAAGTGAAAGGGAAATTAATAAAATAAATGTAGAATTACACTGTCCTAAATTACTATGATTGTAATGTGGTATAGTATCAATTTAAAATAGACTTGATTGAGTTAAAGATGCATATTTTAACCTGCAGAATGATATTAGTAATGAAAAAGTAAAATAAAGAGATATCTACAATAAAAGCCAGAAAGAAATAATAAAGACCAAAGAATAAGTGAGACAAATAGAAAACATATCATAAAATGGTAAGATTCAACTTAACCACGTATACAAATACATTAAATATATATAAACTAAATACTCTAATTAAAGGCATTAGTTGTCAGACTATAAAAAAATAAGCAATATGGCCTTTGCAAAGGACAAATTTTAAATATAAAGACACAGGAAAAGTAGCTGTATTCGTATCAAAAAGAAGGGGCAATAAAAGATATAATCGAAGATATTTCACAATGATAAAAGAAACATTTCATCAGGGGAACATAACAAACATAAATTTACATGCTCTAACTAACAAACATTCAAAATTTATGCAGCCAAAAATGATATAACAGAAAAAATAAACAAACAGATCCCTAACCATAATAGGTTTTGACATTTTTCTCTCTCAGTAATAGATATAAGAGCAACAGTAAGAATACAGAAGAATTGAATAGCATTATTAACCAATTTGACCTCAATGATAGTTATAAATTGCAATTCCCCATATTTTCAGTATATAAAGGTATCCCTTGAATAACATGGGAATTAGGGGCACCAACCTCCTCTGCACATCAAAAATCCATATAATAATTACTATATACATAGATATACTGATTATTTTCAAGTGTACTCAGACTATACATTAGAACTGGTTATAAATAAGTCTTAACACATTTAAAGTATTGACATCTTACTGAGTATGTTCTCAGAACACAAAAGAATTATAACAAAAAAAAACAATCAAAACTAGAGCTGTAAATGAAATGACTTAAGTATATATGACTTATGGATAAAATATGAAAAGATAAATTAGAAAAGATTTTGATAAGAAGAGCACAAAATATCAAAATTTGTGTGATGCAGTACCTAGCAGTAAACTTACAAGTCTAAAGGCATATTTAAGAGAGAAAATAAGTTTAGAATCATTTGTCTAAGTTACAAACTCAATTAATTAAAAAAGGAGAAAATTAAAGAAAGCAATAGAAATATAAAGATCAAAAATCAATTAAAAAGAGAAGTTGTATTATGAAAAACTTTATGCCAACAATACTGATAACTTGGAGAAAATGAATGTCTTTTATTTATTTTTTTTCCTTTTTTTATTAAATTATTATCTGTGTACATATTTTAACATTCCCCCTTCCCTCCCATACATACCCTCCCGCCCCAGAGTTTTGTGTCCATTGGTTGTACTTATATGCATATATACGAGTCCTTTGGTTGATCTATTATCTAGAAACACCAATGAATGTCTTTTAATAAACAAGTTTTTTTAAATTAATAGAAGAAATAGAAAATTAAACATCTCTGTGTATTTTAAATAAACTTAAAGAAATTAAAATCTCTTCCACAAAGAACACTAGGTCCTGATAACATCATTGCAAGCTCTTCCTAAAGGAAGAAATAATTACTATATTATATAAATTCTTTCAGATAATAAAGGAGAAAAGAATATTTCTCATCTTGTTTTTATGGTCAGAATAACCCTGACATTAATACAAGAAAAAAGCAATAGTGAAAAAAAAATTACAGAATAATATATTTTATGAGCTTAGGGAGATAAATTCTTAATTAGAAATCAGTAAACAGAACCTACCAATAAGAAATTAGGATAATAAAACTACAGAAAATAGGCACATGATGATGTTTTGTTGAGTTGTATACTTTACAATTGAAACCTGTATGGTTTTGTGAACCAATGTCTCCTATTAAATTCAATTTAAAAAAAGAAAACTTCCAAAAGGCTTAGAGATTGCCAAGAAAATATGAAGATCATATCTTACCCACATTATAGTTATACTGTAGAAAAACAAAGGTAAGATTAACTTACCAGGGTAACCAGAATTATGGGGGTGGGGGGGGGGGCCCACTGGGGGGAAGGGGAAGAGAGCAGAAATTTCACATACAGGGAAACCATGATAGGAATGCTATTTGACTTCTTATTAGAAACAATGGAAGCCAGAATACAACAGAATGAATTTTTAAAGTACTGAAAAACACTAACAGTCAACTGTCATAACCAAACATTTAAAAATGAATGAAGGCATAAGGAAACT